TGGGTTTACGTAGTACACCACACAGTTACCGCGCCTAAGAGTATGCTTTGCAAATGGAAGACAATTCGAGCAGCGCCAGAAAAGTTGAAACTCTATTTTTCACAAGAAATGTCTTGCTCCGGCGGATGATGCTCGGCAACAACAATGAAAATGGCAGCATAGTCATTAGTGTAGGTCTACAGTCACCGTTACGTGGCCCGCCAACAACGCACGTCTTGACGTTGTTGATTGTGTTTTCAGCGCGGTCTCATAGTTTCCCATGAGTTGGCAGTCAAAGTAAAAAGTTCCTCCTCACAGTTAAGTCTGTCCCTCTTTCCTCGCCCGTTACTAGACTATCGCGTCTGTTGCGGCTGGCAGTGCTGCATTTGACGTGCGCCAAAGTTTAAATTCATTTTTCATTTGCTGTCGCCTTTGGCGTTGTCGCTGCCAACAGAAAAAGCGTCGCTCTCCACTAACGCTGCGCTCTTCTACCAGCATCTCTACGTTTGTTCGCAGCAGACGCTTTAAAAAACCAAACAATCACTGCAATCCACCAAAATATTTTTGATTGAATGCCAAAAACTTTTACTTTTGTGCAAATGCATTAGTCTCGCGCAAATGTGAGTGCAGTAGGGTGGCAACCCAGTAAACGAAAGATGTGGAATTTTAAACGAGCTCTAAACCTTGATAAAACTTTTATTTTATTATTCAATATAGTTATCTTCGAGCCTCAGCTTCGACGACCGCCTCTTCATTCGACGAAATTTTCTTACCAGCGAACATTCTTTTGAGCAAATAGCCGCTGGTGCCAGATCCATAGAATGTTGTGGATTCCGCATCCACAATTAAAAACTCATTTCATGAAATTGTGCCGTCGTTTTCACTGACATGTACAAGGTACATTGACTTGGTGAAAGATCACTTTATTTTTCGGCGATTTCGTCGTTCGAGCGGTCCAATAACGCTATGAAACAGTCGTCATTCTCTTTTAAAGATAAAAATTATTCCACGCGCATCCCAAAGCACAGTTCACTCGGATGACTGTCGATTGGTCTTCGGAGTGAAATGACGGAGCCATGTTTCATTACTTGTCAGATATCGACGCAAAAATTTGGTTTTATCAAATGGTCGTTGTTTTTAATGAAAAATAAGCTCGCGCGGAACCCACCACGTACAAAGCTTTCACATGTCCAAATATTCATTCCCAATATTTCCAAAACGTTATTTGATATCTTAAGAGTCTCAGCTCTCTCGAACAACTTCACTCTACGGTCATCCGAAATTATTTTGAGGACTATTTTTATATTTTCGTCCCATTTAAACTGAGAAGACCACTTTTCAACTGTTGGGTTTCCTGGTGCAGTGTCCAAATAATATTGATCAATTCTAACTTTGGCTTCAACAGTATTTTATCCTCCAAAAAGTAATGCTTTATGAACACACTGTAATTTTTAGGTTAGGATGGGCCAACAATTTTAGTTTACTGGGTGCCGACGCTCCTCCATTGTGTAGCGCAAAACCGGAAACGGAAATGCATGAGTGCATTGACAGCCGACTTTAAATCGCTTCATACCTCAGGATGTCTAGGTCGGTGTGCGTACGCAAAAGAATAATGATTTGTCGGTGCAACTTTTTCGTTGGAAAGGAAAAATAAATAACTACGAATTGCTGACAACTGTTTGAGGTCAAAATGTGCAAAGTTTGGTGGATTAAAATAATTGCCAGCAAAAGGCAGAAATAAACCAACTCTTAATCTTTACTACGATGCAAAATAAAGTTGAAAATTTATACAGAAGTACTATTGTACTGAGACAAGATGAAGTCATTAAATTGAACTAATTGAGGCCAAAGGGAGGGCGAACATTGCCACATCATCCAAGCCAATAATTTAGAGTAATAACTACTCTAACAGTAAATCGCTTCGATTAGAGCTTATGAAGCCTGAAAAATAATATACAAACGCTAGTCAAACCAGGTCTCTGACGTTTTCTACGGGCAAACTTAAAATAGTAACAACTATTCAGACTATAATGAATATTCTTTCAGTAAACCAGTTTCCCAAGGAAAAATGGAATGTGTGAAAAAGGCATGAGAATCAATTGCAAGCTGGCTAATAGTAAATGAAAATTGAGTGAGGCCACTATACTCGTATAGCGAGTGTGTGAATAATATATAAATCGCCGTGTTATCGCTTGGTAAAAATACCTCAAAACGACCTTCTCGTTTTCCTTGCACCGAGTTGAACTTTCAGCATCAACCCACCTTGGCGTTTCTTTCTTTCAAATAAATAGCGGATAAAAAAGAGGAAATGAAGAAAAATCTATTTAATGTTAAAAAATGTGCCGCCACCACCGCGGTAAATGAAGGGAGGAACGTGCAGCGAAACTATAAATAAAAATTCACGAAAAGCCATTGTTTTCCTTGGCCGGCGAGTGCAGGACGCGCCGAACACCTAGCGATGCAATGCAACATGTGAAATGTTGCACCATCCGAACAATGTAACAGGGGCAGCAACTCAGTTGCAATAGCTATGCACTAGCCGTCGCAGTAATGTTGCATGCCACACAAGCAAACTTTTGTACATTTGCCAAATTGCCGTGTAAATCTTTCACAGTTCAGGCAATAAATAAACCAAATAAATTTGTCACAATTCGTTGCCGAGACAAATGGGGAGACGCGCGACTGTTTGGTGTATGCACACACACATGTGCGCGGATTTGCATTCACGCATGTGTGTGCGTATATGTGTACTGATTAGTTGTCACAGCCACGACGAATGGTTGCATTTTATTTTAATATAAAAAATAAGAATAAACAAATAAACCGACCTGCTTATGTTGTTGTTGTGTCTCGCCAGAAGATCGTCTCGTTGATATGTTGCGCGATGCCATTAGCGTCAAGCTGTCTGCAGCACATGCGACGGCGGCGGCCACAAATTTATGTATTGCTGCAATAACAACAACAATAACAAGGCGTATTTAAAAATGAACTAAAACATGCTTCTGATTTTTATAAACGGAAAGCAGACTGTTATTATGTCGAAAATTTTCTTACGGGTTATATGTGTATGCGAGTGTGAATTCCAGTATTTTTATCCATCTTACCACTTTACGAGATGTTGCATTGATTTTTCTAATTTTGGGAGTGCAGATGGCTAAGCAATGAAATAATGATCAGCCCATCCAGTCAAGGGCACTTTCCATCTGAGGCAGAGGCTTGCCGTCGCAAAGCTACAATGTAAACACAGACGGAACCCTTTATTCCATTGCCTTTATTAGTTAACAAGTTTTACCAACTTATTTCATTCGAATACATTTGTTAGAACAATGATTTTTTGAAATTATGATTTCTAATTTTTAACAAATATTTACACACACGAAGACGGAAATTGACAGAAAACGATCATTGTGGCGCGAAAGCGCAATAACACCCAGAGTTGTATGCGGCAATTTGAATGAAGGCGAATTCAACGTATATTCGCCTCGATTTAAACGAATTTAAAATTTTTCTATTGTGAATATTGCACAGAAAAATGTTTACTTCCGATTCGGAAACACGCAATCATAAGCAATTATAACTTAAAGATCAGAAGAATATTTGAATATGTCCGAAATAATATTCAGCATAATTAACAAGTAAATTTTTACAACATTTTTCTATTGTTTCGAGTACATGAAAGATAAAAAAGGTCTTGATGAAGTAAATAATAGTAATTCTGACAGAAATAATGTTCCACTGGATTTTTATATATTATAACGTATTATGTAAGAAAATATAAATTTTCGATATTTGGTAGTATATAAAATATAGAGAGAATATAATACATAAGTACATACGTACATATATGATGTAACACCCATATTCATTGCACTTCAATCATTTATTTCTAAAATATCTATTTATAAATTAGCGGCGAAAAAGATATTGTGAATTATTCATGTTTTTGGAGATCAATGCAACTCTGCAATTCGCCGCCAAACCTTAGTTGTCAGTTTCCGTTTAAACAAGTTCTAAAATTGGTGATTGAAAAATAATATTTATTTTTTCATAAAATAATTTTTTGTGTATATTATATATACATATGTTGTTATGTATGTTGTGTGAGTTTATAATGTGTTACATAAGTAAATGAATTTGATCCCACAATGTTGGCTATTATAATAATATACCTCAGTGAATACACATATGCACATATGCAAATGAAAAATTGAATGAGGAGTGCTTTGCTCCGGCGCAAATGATTGCGATTTTAATTTACTGTTACTAGTGATCAAAAGCCATTTTGAAGGCATAGCTCGCAATGCCAGATGCGAGCATACAATACGGGTGAGTAAATTACTACCGACCACTTTATACTGTTGTATAAGGAACTTTTATTAGCATTAGCTTTATAAGGCGTAGAAAAACATACTAACTAGCTTTCTATAGCCTGATCTCACATTCTATAATTTCCATAAATCCATTTTTCCACATATTCTTGTATGTGGCAGTCAGTGAAGGCAAAATAGTTATTTGCATATATGTAAACGATTGTGCAACGCCGTCATAGTAACGCTAAAGGGCTTATTTTTAGCGTGCATTCATGCAATTCACATGCGCGATGACGTTCCTCTGCCTTCAATCCTTATTTTCTTTTGTCTGTTAGTACTTTTGCAACTTTGTTAGGGGATGGTTATTGTTGCTGTCACATTTTGTTTGGCATGCGCGTGGCGGTCTAGACTTTGACTAGACGTGTTTAACCAAAAAAGCAACGATGCAATCACAACAAAAAATAGTTGATAGTGGTGATAGTTGAAAGGAAGCTTTCATAGTCGAAAATTTTCGCATGCACAGAAATACAACAAGTGTCGTCATGAAAAGTTGCAAAATGACAGCACTCATTGGAACACAAACACAGCAAAACCATTCATATTGCACAAAGCTGTGCTTGTTTAGGGTATCAAAGAGAGGAGTATCACAATTAACCATAATTTTAAATATATACATACATATATTTTTTATTTTAAATTTAATTTGTAGCCTTAACAATACACTATTATTAAAACAATATTAATTTCTTACAATAAGAAATCAAAAATTTCACCTTTATGTACACTTTACACTAAGCAGTGCCGAATTTCTTTTGCTTAAAAGCGTCCGGTAATTGTTCAATTAATGTGACAGGATTGACACCGACTGCGACCAATTCATCCGTACTGAGCCAACTGAGCGATATTAGGTGCTATGTGCATAAATTGAAAAGAAAAGAAAGTTTTCATTAATTAATTTATACGAAAAATGTCTCCAGTTCATTTACCTCATAAGATTTTTTAAACTTCAAGCGGAGGCCGCTTACTTTACTGTCACTCACAGCACGCTTCAATTTCTTTCCAACCATCTTGCCCGTTGGTTCCGAAGCGTCATTATCGTATTCGGTTTCGCCATTCGTGTCCGCAACTTTCTCCAGCACATATAAATACGTATCGTTATGCAGTACAATATTTTTGGAATTGCGGCTATCCAATAACATATTTGAAACGCAATGCGTTTCGGCATTCTCGACAAAATACTCTCGTTCCGAACACGTAAAACACATTTCTTCTAGATCATATTCAATTATTTTCCCATCAGAGAAGGCTGCCACTAGCCTGGGTTCGTGCGCATGAATTGCTAAAGCCGTTGTAATGGCCGAGTAACGCGGCATGTTGAGATGATGTTTGAAATGTTTACCCTCAAATATTCTCCATACCGCAATGGTGCGATCTGCACCTGCTGCTACTATGTATGTACCACATTCCGATACGGCGAATATATTTACAACGTCTTTTATGTGTTTACTTGTTTCAATGCTTTCAACGAAGTCTAGGTCAGTGCTGCCATTTTTAACTATTGAAAATATGTTTATTTGACGGGTAGTAGGTTGTAAAAGGAAAAGGCGTTTCGAATCGCTGCTGAATATTATGTGGGAGGCAGTTACAAACTGCTCTGGCAGGCCTCTGACGCGGGCAAGTTGTGTGTCATTTTTCCCTGAAACTGATGGTAGAAACCGGAAAAGTCTGATACTCTTTTGGGTCGAGTAGCATAACCACTGACCGTCAGGGGAGATGGTGGCACAAATAATTGGTTCATCATTTTTGCTTCTGAATTCCAATAGTTTCTCCGGTGGGGTATTCAAAGCAAGCATCCTGTGCTCTTTTGATTTTTGTTCTTTTTCATTTTTCTTTGGTGCTACTAGCTGTGGTCTGCCGCCCGTAGAACCAAGACGCCACACTTCAAAATAATTTGTATAACGAAGTAGTAACAGGCGATTTTTATTTGATACGGCAACGCATGGATTCTAAGAAATAACTTCAAAAGTGTCAAATGTAATTAGGTATTTCAATTTTGATTCTTACCTTAAGGAATGGACCATACTTAGATATTGTGGAACTACGTTTTGAAGCCGAGGATATTCCTAAATAACCATCCATACCACCAGAGAAAATACGGTCACCTGCACATACGAGCGCTTTCACATCATTATCGTGTACACTTCTCTGCAGATATTTTACCCAGCAATAATACTCCATTTCCTCACGCTTAATTTTTGTTTTGGCATATATTCTGATTATTGGTTCAATTCCTGAGCACATTAGCAAATTTTCTTCTTCATTTACAGCTACCGCCAGTACATCTGCCTTTAGCACTTGATGTGATTCCAAATGTGTTGCTAGCTTACCATCCCAAACTGAGACTTGACCACGTGAATCACCCGAAATAATTGTGAAATCACTTAGCACTTGTAATGACCAAACAATCACCTCTTTTTTCTTTTCCACCCGCGAAATTGTCATTTTATGCAACGCATGGCCACTCTTCACATCCCAAATTCGTATTGCACCCAATGAACCAGTTACCAGAAATTCGCCGGTACGATCAAATTTACAACACAACACACGACCTTCTTGCTTATCAAATAGTTGTTTGTATTGCATTTGATCGCTGTCTATGTCAAATATATTGATGTAACCCTCTTCTGTCCCGACGGCCAACTCTGTTCCGGTGGAGTTTACATCAATGCACCATATGGCATTTCCAGTTACGAACTGCTTACGTCGGGGCCTCAGCAATAGTAAATCCCATTCTACCAATTCGCCAGTAAGTCCAACTGAGAATAAACGCTCACCAGCCCAAACCATACCCTCTACGGAGTTTCCAGGCGATTTTGGTATAGCTTTTTCTAAATAGGAGGCATGTTGCATATCCCAAATTTCAATAGATCCATCATTTCTAATAATAATAAGAAAATATTCAAATCGCAATGCACCTTTTCAAAATGTGGTTATATTCACCTAGATATTGCTAACTTGTGCCAAACCTTGTTATAAGCCATACTTTGTATAGATCGCGGCGTGAGATTATAAAAACGCACATTATGTGTTTTTGTGCGCCCGACTTGAGCATTTCCTCCATTCATCTTTTATTTTCAACGAATTCTTTCTATTTTAAAAATTAAATCTAAAATTAAATGCGGTTGAAATGATAAACAAAATGTCACACGTGCACTCACATCGGGAACGATTGGAAAGAAACAGTATGACAGTTGGCATATCCCCAGAGGTGTATTGTTGGAAAAAGATATTTATTATGTAGAATCTGGTTACTTAAATTTTTCCATGTTTCAGTTTAAATTAATATTATAAAAATGTTATATTATGCCAAATGTTTTAAACGAATTATTTATATACACAATTAGCAGACACATAAAATTATGCTTATCTAAACTCATGTAATGCTAAGTTCTTGAAAAAATTAAAACCGAATACCCACAGAGTATTGCAAAACTAGGAAGATGTCAAATCTCATTTGACAGCTGCAAGAGTTTTCATTTTGTATATCCCATAGTACTTCAACTGATTTTCACGCATATATTTTAGATTAATGGATAAAACTAATTGAATTAGTAATTAATCAACTTAGCATTTTATAAATCACATGATATATAATTATCAATATGGCGCAATAAGTGTATTTATACTCTATTAAAATTGGTTCCTAATATTTGGTATCACTGTAATAATTATAAACAAATCCATAAATAACTTACGACAATGCTTTGGTTTTACACAAACCGTGCTGAGAGGAGTACTTTGCTATGGAAGCCGCTATTTAGTAAGTTTCGCTCTCTATGGCTAGAAAAATATCAATTTTTTGTTTGACAATTTTTAAGTGCTGCTTGCCGTTTTCGCAACTCCCCTTACTCATGCCGCCAATGTTGAAGCTGCGCGTGTGCTTGATTTGAGCGACCGTTTTCTGGAAGTATACAATCAAGGCCAATGGCTGGTCATGTTTTATGCGCCCTGGTGTGGTTATTGTAAACGTGCAGAACCCATTTTCGGGCAGGTTGCACAGGAATTACATGGATTGAGTATCCGTGTAGGAAAAGTAGATTGCACTCGCTTCCCACATGTGGCACGTGAGATGGAGGTTCGTGCCTATCCAACCATAATGTTCATAAAAGGAAGCGCAAAGTATATATATAAAGGCGATCGCGTCAAAGAGGAGTTAGTTGACTATGCGCTGCGCATGAGCGGTCCTCCGGTACAATTGGTGACTCGAGCCGAAAGTATCGATATGCTTAAGGGCTCACATACAATATTCTTCATTTTTATTGGCCAGCAGGAGGGTGTGATGTGGGAATCATATTATGCAGCAGCGGAAAACTATCAAGAACACGGATTCTTCTACGCAACCACACCGGATTTAGCAGCACAGCATTTCGAATTTGAACACTTGCCTGCTGTAGTTGTTTACAAAGAAGAGCAACACCACTTATATCCACTTGCACATGTAGCCCACGAAATGGATGTGTCGGAGATTAACGACACTATACATCATTGGGTGAATGTCGAAAGATTTGTAACATTCCCAAAAATTACCCGTTTCAATATGAATCAATTAATGAAAACGAAAAAATATTTAGTTGTGGCAGTTGTAGAAGAAGATAAATTGAATCAAGTTGCTACACATGAGTTAGAATTCCGTGATATGGTCGAAGGTGTTATACGTAAGCATCGAGATAGGTACCATGATAAATTTCAATTCGCCTGGGTAACTCTTTTATGGATTAACATCTATGCAATATGTAATGAAAACATGTTTATTTATTATTAGATTGGTGATCCTGGCATAGCGCATTCCATCGTACTGGATATGCCGCCCACACCTCATTTGTTTGTGATTAACTCTACCACTCAAGAACATTACATTCCAGACGATGAACCACTTAAAATGACACCTCAAGCTCTTCATGTCTTCCTCGAATCCATTCACAACGAAAGTGCTACTCCACTTGGTGGTGACACTCTTTTGGTGCGTGTCCGGCGTGCAATATTCGAGGTCAGGAAAGGTTTAAGTGATATGTGGAAGGGCAATCCCGTACTTACGACTGTTATCTTGGGCTTACCCTGTGGCTTTTTATCGCTTATTTTATATTCCGCCTTCTGTGGCGATTGCTTTGTGGCATCGGATGAAGACGATGATCACGAGAAAACCGAGTAAACTTTGTGCAGTATGCTGTGTCATATGCTTTAGAGTGTTTTGGAACAATGTTTATTGCTTTTATTTATATTTCTAGTCTAATTGTATCGGTTTATAGTATAATTTGTGGCTGTCATATATATTAACTTATGGATACTTAGTTGATGCCCAAACAACGTCATTTAAAATAAATCTGTGTAGTGTGTATGGACGAGCATTTTTGAAGTAATCAGTTGGATCAAAATTAGGATCATTTGAGATAATTATATTTCATTCATCATAGCGGTCATTCCATATTTATATATTTTATATTTCGTCTTAATTAAAATAATTCACAAAAGTTTTATTTAAGTTTATTCTTTCTATGTTTCTAGCATTATACGTAATAGAGGTTAGCATTAGGACAAGTAAATTTCTCAGCAATTTTTAAATGTTAGTGAAAGCAGAAATAAATAGACTTTACGGCACCTTTCAAATCGTATTGTGCTTTAAAAAATGCCTAAATATTAAATTAATTAGCTTAAACAAATTTTGTAAACGTCGTATGGTCGCAAGTGTGCTACTGCTCTATGAAAGTTCTGCATTTTACAAAATAAGTATTTGTTACTATCTGGCATCGCAGATTCCTTCATTCTTTTGTCGAAAGCGTACAATCAGCAGCCATAGTCATCATCGTCATCTGAATCTATGGCAGCACGCCTTCTGTCATATTTAACTGTTGATTTACTTTGTGGCATTTGAGCGTTTATGCTCTCCAATATACTGACAAATTGCGCATCATCAAGCTTACCGCGCACTTGCCCCATTTGGGCCATGCGTATCACCATATTTTCAAACATTTGGGCCTTTTCCGGTTTGCTGATTTTTAAAGTATTTACTGTAAACAAAAAATAATAATAGAATGTGTAAAGAATGTTGAAAATAATATGCATACGTCGTGCGCGTGCCTGTTGGTCTAACACTTGCGAAAGTATGGAGTGCTTCATTTCCTCTTGTTGGCGCATTTGCTCCTGTTGGGCCTGTTGTTTTTCGGCATTGTTACCATCACTGCTACCCTAAAAATTAACAAAAGAAATCATGAATTAATAATAGATAAGGCAAGGAAGTTGTTCATTTAGCATAACAAATGTTACGAAATGATAGCTGACAAGCTTTTCCCCGTTATAAAATTGTGTTACTTCCGTTTAGGTAGATCAAAGTCAAAAGGATAGTTGTCTTTTCATATTTTCATAATATATTTTTAGTATATAATTTGATCTTCCCCGTAATCCCTGCGCCAATTGCCGGCACCTGTTTCAATGACCCTAAGCTTTTTGGTCACAGAAATACTCACGTATTGTTGCTGTAATTGAGCCATACGCTCAGCACGCAAGGCGTCTAAATCATTATCTGCCATTATTTTTTATATTAATTATTGTTTATTATTTCCTTATAACAAAATATTAGAGGAAAAATCCACACGAGTAAAACTGTAATAATTCTTCTGATTGGGTTAGTCACTTTTGACATTCATGAGAGCTGCCAACCTTCCATAAATTGTATGTTACTAATTGAAACGAACCGGTTTGGAAACGAAACAAATACAAATTTTAACAATTATTTTTTTTAAATTGTATCTTATCTATTTTTTAAATTTTTTTTTTTTTAATATTGGTGTTGAAAGTACCGACTTACCTTCCCTTTTTTTAGCAAAATAAAAATCCGAGTTTTTAGTTTATATAATTAGCAAATACTTTATATGTAAGGAAATACATAAATTTAAATACAAAACAATACTTTATTAAAGCTTAGATTAGAATGAAGCTGCAATGGAATGGTTAAGTTACATATAATATATATAAGCTGGGAAAAAATGCGCTCGAATGACTTACAGGCAATATAACAAAAGATAATGATTAATTAAAAAAAAAAATGATTTAATTGAACAAAAATTTGAAAGTAAAGAAATTATTGGAACACTGAATCTTTGGGAATAGTTACACATTAAAGGAATGACTTTCCAAAATTATTAAGAGAAGCTCTCTGCAGATATATGCTGCCATTGGCCCTGAAAGAAACAATAAAGTCAAGAGGTAATATTTTTGTGCATCCTCTATTCCCATAGATAATAGAAAAGCTGTACAAACCGGTATGCCCAGATTCCATCCTGCACCGGCGGGATTCTCTTTTGTAATGCCACAGCGTTGGCAAACGACACCATTCAGTGCAATCGCCCAGACCTCGGCGCCCACTGAAACCGACTTAAAGCCGATATGAGTTTCCGTATGTGGCGGAATATTCGGCATATTCGGCAAGAACTGCCAATGTGAGCCCTCGGGGAACGTTTTAGTGATCTCTTTGCGCACAGCCAACCGGTTGTGGTTGTCAAGTGCCCAAATGCCCGCACGCCCCACAGCAACCGTACGGAATGTTACACCCGAAGGCGCTTCCACCATTTGCCAAGCGTCACCTGTGTCGAATATTGCAAATATAACATGTACTTTGCATAATTTTCAACATGCTTACATACCTAATGGATTGTGCCTTGTAATGCCATAACGGAAATAAATCATGCCATTCCTTCCGACAGTCCACACTTGCCCAGACGGGCCCACACTAATTCCAATCAACGGTTGCTCGCTCGGTATATGCTCCCAACTTTCACCGCGTGGATTTAGCTGCGTTACACCATGTCGTATTAGCACATCGCCATTGGATGCCACTGCCCAAGCGCATACCGGCAAATCTTCCCAATCACCTAAACTATTGGCACTATCCACATCGTTGTCGAACACTTGCAAAGCGGCATCTAAAATCTTTGAATGACTCAACTCTTGCCATGGGCCGCTACTGGTTAGACGGCACTTTTTCAACCAACGGCGACGACGTACGCAATCAGTGATTTTTTTCTGAGCGTGGTATGTGGCTGGAAAGTCAATTGCATATTGCCAACCTTCTTTATCAGCACCTCCGGGTATATTATAGTCTACCATCCAATCCGTTATCCATTCACAGTGTGTGGATAAGAGTTTCGTGTGCTCTTTGCTACGTCTTTGGCGTCCACTAGCATCGCTCCACAAGTGCCTATCGGTGGGTAGACTCTTCGTAGTGAAGCCGCTAATGGGGTTCCAGCGTTGATTCTCGTACACATAGTAAGTGTGCGTATCGACCATATTGTTAATTTTCCCAGTGCCACCCTCAAGCCCTTTCAGAAACTGGCCACCCCAACCGCCGTTATATACCCAGGCAGTGTTGTCGCACGAAATTCCCCACACGACGCCGGCAGAACATGTAAATACACGCTTAATGTGACCACCTATTTGGCGCCAATACATCTCCTGCATGGAGATTATCAACGTAGGACAACGATAGACGATATGAAAGAGCTTTACACGCCCACTAACGTAGAGGCAGGTGACGGCGGCCGGATCTGTACGGTATTTGTAGTCGGCGAAGTGTGTGTTGTTCACAAACAACTGGTAATGCTTCTCCAAAACTCTGCATACAAAATGCAGCAAAATGTAGAAAAAGTCAATGAAAAGTTTATAACGGTATGTGCTTACTTGATGCGTAATGTGAATGTGGCGCCGGGCGCGAACACCATGTTGTCATTGCGTATTTCATCCAGCCATTCGGAGTCGTTCATACTGTTAAGCACTATGGTGCGCTCATTGAATCTAAAAGCAACGGAATTAAATTAAAAATTGCCACTGCACACACCCAATCATGAAATAATAAATACGCCTTACCTTGGATTTATGTGCATTGCAATCACACGGAATTTTTCCACTTTGGGACGCGTCTTTATGTTTGGATGACACTGCAAATCAAAGCGTATTTGATCAGCATCATCGTAGACACAACCAGATATCTCCAGTTCCGTGCCAAAGGGCATGCTTAAAAAAACGAAACAAAAAAAAAAAAAAAGTAAATAATTATTGGGGAAAAAACTAGAAGTGCACCGACCCATTGGAGAGTGTATTGTAGTAAGGCGTTTCCATTGTGTTTACATCAAATTTCTGCACATAACAATTTCGCTCCTTATCCAGCTGGTTCGCTTTCATATTGAGTGGATCGAAAACAAAGACTTCTCCAAGTTCGCTGGTGATCCAAATAGCGTTGTTTGCCGGTTTGCCCAGCACCTCATTGATCTGACAGCAAACCGAACTGAGGTGAGAAAGCCAATCCTCCATTTCGGCGTCACTGGAGAATTGCAACTTGATCGGTGAACAGTTGGCTGGTAGGCGTGGTGCGTGCAAGGCAATACGCGGTGCACTTGGCTCACTGCAGCATTGCACGCACGTGATGTTGGCGAGCGAAAATTGGATTTTTGTAGTGACGCCATCGGGATTGAGCACTGTGAAGGTACCCGAATCGGAATCGGTGCTGGTGTTGCCAGCATCTGCACTAGTATTAGCGCCGGTTGCACCACTTACCCATTCCAATTCTATTAAACAGTCTTCGAATTCACCACCGGGACGTTGATAACGTGCTTCGGCCGATTTAATCCATGAAGTTAATTCGACGGATTTCTCGTATTTTTCTGGATGTTTCAATTTTTTCAGCAACTCCTTTTGTTTTTGCAGTTTCTCAATAATATCCTTGCGCCATACGGCATCCACGTCCACTTTACCATTGGCAGACGCTTGTTCATTAAACCAGTTTGGCGTATTCGTCGGATCGACACACACAGCGCCTGCTGCCACACAACTCCACATCACCTCGCATTCGGTCCAAAACTGTGAGCCAGCGTGATCTTCATCCTCGCCTAGAAATGCATCTGAACCGTGATGTGTTGAATCCGACTCGAATACCGCTGAATCGCTTTCAGGGTGTGCCTCAGTGCCGACAATTGAGCCAACGCTACGCACAGGCGACCACGCACGTGGATTCTTGAGCTGCGTTTCAAAGTGTTTGCCTGATATTTCGGTCACCACCTCTGTTGCGGGTGCGCTGCATGCGTGGGTGGCATGTTCACGCATAGCCGAGGTACGCTTCTTGTGGCGCTCATTCAAATTTAAGCTACCGATATTAGGTGGTGAATCGGTTGAGTATTTCCAAATGTCACCTTTGAGTCGCGCCTGTGCAGCTGCCGCTCCTGCTGTGCTGCTATTCGTGGAGGCCGGACTGGCCGGCATATTTTCAATTGGTGCACATGTCTCCACTACGCCTTTCTCCTTATCCTTGCTATAAAGGTTTGAGAAACTCTGATGTTTTGAACCAGGCGTGGAACCGCTGCCACTACGGCGCGACACAATCGACATTGAGCTGGAAGTGCGACTTATCTGCATGGAACACTGTATTTGGCGCCACTGTTTGCCTGTCGGATCGGAAGCGGACACACCTGAGCGAAAGTATAGCGTGCGATCTGCTGAACCGACGGCGAAAACTTGATCATTAGGCGCCACCGAGATTGAAGATATATTGACAATCAACTCCACCCAGCCGCTGCCGATAGCGGCGTCTTCGCTTATGCCAGCTGCCTCGCCTTTGACGCCGCGTCGGAACCATACGTGGCTGTCGTTAGTTACACACCAGACAGAGTCGGTACCCACAGACACCTGAGTAATTTTTAGATTACCTGCAGCATCGTTGCTGCTGACTGGTGGTTTAACGTCCAACCAGGCTTCACCCGAAAGATTCTCGCGCGTAACTCCGGTACGTACAATGGCACGTCCATTATAGAGCACAGCCCATACGAGACCCGTCGGACCGACACTAATTTGCGCCAGTTCACAACCCGGTGGTGTGTTTATAGCATTCCATCGGAGACCCTCCGGAGCAGAAGTGTTGACACCCGTGCGAAACATTGCCTGATTGCACCAAAAAGTAAAAACAATAACTATTTGTAGAATTTTTAAAATCACAACGGGTAAAATAAACACACCCTTCCATGCGCTGTAATAGCCCACACGATCATTGTGCCCGAAGCGGCGTTTGGCACGTTTGTTCCGCCTACACATACATCGATGAACGGTTCTTGTGTGGGGTCTTTATGTAATGGCGCTACCGCACACCAACTATTCAGGGCACTATAACGTCGGAAACGTACCTAAAAATTAATATTCTTAGTAACAAAATTATTAGGCTTTCAATTCATCAACTCACCCATTTCCTCCGTCGCACATATGAGTTCCATGAATTCTTCACCGAATATGTAGCAGGAAAATCTAACGCATACATCCAACCTTCTTCGTTCAACTGCTGACCATCCATATCTAGATCCAAATGCCATTCCCCATCCCACTGCCAGGCCATTGAAGGCAATCTTATCTTGTCGATATTACGTTCTACACTGCCATCAACTGAAGAATACTTGTAGCGATCGGTAGGTAATAGCTTTTTTGAAAATCCTTCAATAGGAAGCCAACGCTCGTTTTCGTAGGACTCTTCTTTGACGCGTATTGGCACATCCAAGCCATACACATATACATACACCTGTCGATCACCGCCAATAGCCCAGACAAAGTGCGGTACTGCCGCGATCTTCTTGAACTCCAAACCCAGATAGGGAAATTCACGCCAAGCCGCTGAATTTGTTGACAGCGTGTAGACACGACCTTCGCTATTGGTGGCGAATAGCAACGAGCTGGGCATGTTGACGCTAAATGATAATTTATATTAATACATGCTTACATATGTACAAAAAGTTCAACAGATCTGGTTTCAACTGGGAATCAAATTTATACGAATAATCAAACAAAGCGATTATTTAACGAATAGAATGTGCAACGCGTGTTCTCAGTTTGGTACAAAATCGATGTAACGTTGTTATAGACATTGCGACTTTTCTAAACACAAAAATTGTTCATTGGGACGCCAACTTTTGCAGTGACAGCAACATTCAAAGAAAACATAACGTTGTCTTTTCTTACCTTCTTTTAAATATATTATTTTATCAAAAAATATATTCTTTGTCCCAGCAAATTCGCAGTACTGCAAACAATAATTTATTTACTTTCACGCTTCCCGTCTAATTTCGCATTTTTCCACTGTTCTTTTAAAAATGTTTAAATTAATTGGTAATTTATCAAGCACTTGGTATTGCAGATCCTTTTAATTTTTTGGTCCACTTTAAAGTGATTCACAGTCTCCCATTCCTACCGTCGAAAATTTGCAAGCATGGTACACTTCTACCGTGTTTGCAATAATTGTATACTCCTTTGTACCGATTTTGCCTTTGACCAGCTGATAGTACTGTTGTTTACATTTTGCGAAGAATGTGAAAGGAAAGACTAAAACTGAAAACGCCAATGTTGCATTAAAGGAATAGTGAAAGCACAACCTATAGAAATCGTCCATTTATTTATCGATTATTTCAGCAATTTCTAATCAGTCGAAATCGTTATGAGATGTTTTCACGTTATTGGTAGTTCAATTACTTTCGACACTGCTTTTATACTTCCATGCTTTATTTTTTCAAGAGTTGGCGATTTAAATGGTAACTATTTTTCCAAATCATTTATTGAATCTAAATTTCTTCGGTGGAAGTTATGTCTTTAAATATGTATTTATGTTTGTAAATATGTATATGATACTCATGGTGAGGCAAAGGTCAAATTTATTCAAATACACGTTTGTTGTATTTCCACAATGGCTTACCGGGATGTGGAGGGGGAGTCCATACGTTTACATGGTAAACAGCGAGTTCAATATCCTTCAGCGCAAACAAATTAAATGCCGATTTGTGTTATAAACAAACCAATCAATAAAAATTCGGTATGCAACAAATGGCCACCTGGAAATTAAGGGGGGGAGTAAAATAGCCAGTATGTATAACGAGTTGAGATTTAATCATTCATGCTGGTAGATCTTTGATGTTGTACTAAAATTTTATAAATATCGGCATAGCGATTATAGAAACGTTGGATTTGGAAAACTTATGAGAAAGTTGGTGTGGAAAGAAATGACTTTATCAAGCTCTCGAAAGGCCTCTTGAAGATGTCAAAAAGTGATCCCACCTTTAGTCCTAATCTAAATAAATAATCTAAAGAAATTTAAAGTTTTTGCCGATTGAACGGACAATAAATACATTTCATAAATTGGAGGTCCGTTTGAAAGAAGGGATCGACCTCAGGAAGCAATGCAAGTCCCTTAAAAGTATATATATATACAATGATCAGCGTCACGAACCAAGTTAATTTAGACATGTCCGTCTATTCATTCTTCTGTCTGTCCGTCCGCCCATCCGTCGTTATATATTCGAATTAGTCTTCCAGTTTTTTGATATCGATCTGAAATTTGGCACCGCCTTTTCCTCTCAAAGAAGCTGCTCACTTGTCGGTATCGCCGATATCGGGCCGCCATACAAAATTGAGCGATCCGAATAAAGGGGCTGTATGGAAAGAGTTTTCTTTTGGCGAGATGACTTCACAAAGTTTGGCATGGGTTATTGGCTAAGGAAATGATGCGATCTCCGAAGAAATTGTTAAGGGCATGACAGATTCGATTAACATTTTTTCTTGTTGTTTTTGCAAAATGTATCGCTCAATTGTGGCGAGCACTGTACATTCTGTCCATGCTGGACATACTCAAGTCATAACACCTGTCAGTCAAGAAGTATTACTTTAAGTGTGAAATAAACAATATGTGGACAAACTCGAAACTCTTGAAGCAGGAAAAAAAGTTAAATGCTAGCAATACTTTCATCGAAAAGCTTATTTACTTGCGCAACGGCAACGCAACAATAGCTTATTTTCAGCTAACTGTTGGTCAGAAAATCCGAGTACACACTCATCCCACTCAGCTGTGCGTGTCGATTGCTCTCCGGCGCTGCGTTAGCCCTTGCTTGCCACTTGATGCATGCGTTTTGCGACACAAAAGAAACATGTGCATGTGTGTATATCTCACCAAAACGGTTTTTACTGGCCTGAACTATTAGCTGACACGTATGTACCGTTGTTTCGTTGTTTCGTTGTTACAACAGTCTCAAGTGTTTCTCGGCTTTTCATGTTCCCCCCCTGACCTTCAAGGTCGGTCATTATAGCTTAGCTGGCGTTGAATGTATTTGAAGCAAACTACCGTAACATAAGGCATCAACGTTTGTAGGCTATTTTAAGATTCTTTGTTGAATGCACTTAAATTTAATGCACCTTTATTTTGCCAGCTCAAAACCGAGTGAATTTAAGAATATACGAATATTTATGCTTTGTGTGCTCTCTTAGCGTATATACAGAGTATTTAAGTGGTTGAATGCGCCAGAGTGGAAAACTGGGAGAGCTCTGATCTCTGGCTAGGAGTTTGGATAACAAAGTAGGAAGTAAGTCGGAAGCAAATATTTTTGCATTATTGAATATATTGGAAGTATAGGTTCTGCGCCGAGCAGATCCTGTGTGTTCCAATCCTCATTTTTGTATACCTACCGAGCTGTCTCTATCCGAATAAGTTGTCTCGCAAAAACTTAGATTTTCAAATTTGCAAAAGCTTGTGGAATTCAGATTATGGTGGGTCCAAATGCCTTGGTGGGTTTTAATTCCTGTTATCTTGTCCTTTGTAGTGAGATATTACTTCTTCTCTATAAAATATTAATTACTTATCTGAAGGAACCCTTTCTAAATCATTTCTACGTTGGTCGATGAAGTCCAAGGAATGAGCAGGTTTTTCAGAAAGTTTATGAACTGAATCCACGATGTTGCAAGCAATGAGCGGAAACGCGGCTACGCGACTCATCCAACATTTTTTTTTATCGAATTAAAATGTACAACAAAGCAATTTGTTGCCTTTTATTTGGCTTTTACTTCCACTAAGTTTGTTTCGCACAAAATGACGCGCAATCAAAGCACAAGCTCCTAAATAAAACTTCATTTCCGCAACAACAACAAATGCTAAGTAAATTGTTTGCAACAAAAGCGTTCGCTAAATTGACAGCGGGGAGCCTTGAATCGGTTTTACCGAAGTGACAGAAATAGACACCGGCAATTTAACCGGCAAACGAACACAGCAGCAATTAGCTCTCCATATACACACATACATCTATGCGTTTAAATTCGTGTGTGTGTGTGGAATGAGTTAAGAGTTGAGTTTCCGCTTTGCTCACTTTTGCTCTGCGTGAATCAAAGTTTCATATCATAAATAGCCGTGTTGTCCACAATCAAATTGGCATGCTTACCTTAAGTAGTGTTGTGAACGACGTCCGACTGCACACGCACACACATATATACATATATCCTGAGTACTGTTAAGGGACACTTGCCATTGCCAACGTCATTGCCGCACAAGCGGTGCACAGGTTTATGAATAATTTGCTGTTGTTGCTATTTTTACTCTCTTTGCAGCGCTTTGTTGTTTTTGTTCTACCTTGAAAACGGCCATTCAACTTGCCGCGGAAAAAGACTGCCACAGTTATTATTTCACCGTTGTTTTTCGGGTCCTTAGAAGGAGCGGTGAGTGCTTGGCCGCCCCCGAAAACATTGCAGGGGCCGAAGCGAGTGATTGGCGTGAATGTAATGATGTGTTTGCGACCACTTGGTGGGCGTTTCGCCGTTACTCGCAAATTGTACACAACGCTGAAGTAAAACAAAAAAAAAAAAAAAAAATCAAGTGTAACCCTTGCGTGACGAGTGCCAAACACTAAACTCTTGGAGGCTCAGCGACAAGGCGACAAGGGGCAGTGCAGCTGTGTTGTGACTTGCCGAAATTTCCATAGATAAGCAATGGAGACCCTCATTTGCTTATGTGACTTCTTAATAGTGCCAATTTTCCTGTTGCAAGGCACATAATGTGGCTGTATGTGTGAGCTGTACGTGTGTCTGTGTAAACTTAAGATTGACATTGAAGGTTTTCAATTAATGGGCCTCTCTCACTTATGTGGTTTCATTTTTGCTACTCTCTTTTGGAAAATTTTGGTAGTGGATTTTTTCCGTTTTAATGACTTTGCCATTTTTTCAATAAATAATGAGCTCCTGACCTCGACAACTTACGCACCCAAATGTGAGTGAACTCATCCTAGAAAAAAGGAAAAAGTCCGCTTTTCCGAACCGTCGGCGCACCTTTTGCTTCTTTTTCAAATGTAAGGGAAGCTCTATATGACCACGGTCATAGGTAGTCGGTTCCACAGTCACATAAAGAGAGCGCGCTCTAAAATTGTTTACTTTGGAAATATAATATCACACTCGGCTCTGTTAGCCCTGGAGGATGCTTCGCGTATGATCTTCACAGTATCAACGCAATTGCACATGAACCGTACGGGTCTAAGAGTAGTGAATAGAAGAAAGTAACCAACACGACGACTGCTTATAAAGCCGATTGAAATATAACCTGAATCTTAGCCTAGGCAATTCATCGGCACTTCGTATTAAGCAGTGAGTTGAGATGGAACTCAGTAGAGAATCCAAATTCCACTGACCAATTAATTAAATGGGTGATTTCCTGTTTTGAATCCAGAGCTTTGGTTGTACGGAATTTGTTCTAAGCTTTCGAAGAATTTACATTCTTTTAAATACTTGAAATGTGGGTATGTCGGACTTCATAACCGCTGAACTGATTTGCGGAGTTAGAGACGGAAATGCCAACAGTTTTAGCAATAAACTGTAAACTTCCATAATCTCTGAGCAAAATGCTGAATTTTTGAGAATTTTTTTTTGGAAAGTTCAAGGCTTGTTCGTCAGAGCCTTCGGTTAACTATTTACAATAAAATAAGTAAAGAAATACGAATAAAGTATAAGAATAACAACAGTAAATATGTGCGGGTTGATAAGAGCACTTAATAAATAACAGGAAAAGCAAAAATATATACATATGTACATTTATATTTTTGGGACCTCTTAAATCACACCGCCGATGGAATTACTGCCGTCAGAATTGCTACTTAAAACGAACAGGAACATTAATCTCAACCTTTGCGTGCTGAAAGCGAATAAAATATGATTAGTCTGAGCATAATAAATTTATTCGGATTTTAATAAAAGTAAAACAACTCTTCCCTGCTAAAAATATGAACTCACTTCCAAATTTTGATGTTTTCGACACATTCGTTTGATGGATTATTATGCCTGGCTAAACCAACAACACTTGAAAAATGTGTAGCAAAATTCCAAAACACGCCATAAAATCCATTTGTAGTTGCGCTTTCGCTGTGAGCCGACATTTGACGGCGCTGTAATTTCGCTCGTCTTACAACGCTCCACAGCAGAATGTTCAACACGTTGTTAGATGCCACAAGCGGCGTGTGCGGCTCTCAACGCAAATAAAATGCCAACCTCACTATACTGCGTTGGGGTTGTTCGTAATCGATGTGGAGT